AGGCTGCATTTGATTCCGCACAGTTGGCCAAGGATGAGGAGGGTTGTACTATATCATTTGAGGATTTGGTACACAAGGAGTCAGTTAGTAGTCATTACTCCAAAAAAAACAATCTTGGTCCCTATCAACGCAGTCTGTACATTTCTAGATTTAGAGCTGTCTGTATCAGCTACAAGTGACTGGTCGAGCAGGCAATACGCACCATCCAGAATGGGCTTACTAGCACCAAAAAAAAAAAAAAAGTAGACTTCTCCGTAACATCCATTTCTTGGAGTACAGGACATGGGATCTTTAGTCTTTACCATGGACTATAAGTAGCTACACCTACAGGTGATTGGACAGTGGCAAAAAGAAAGCTGCTGGGACATCCCCTCTCATTCCCAACTAGTCAGTTTTGCAGAAAGCAATAGGCCATCTTGTAAGCAAATTTCCCAACAGGTTCAAAAGTTGGCAGTTGAAGAGCTGAAAGAACCAGATTAAGGTTCCAAGGTGACACAGGGGAGTGTACAGGGATAAGATATGTGCAACGTCCTGCATAAAGGTCTTTGCTGAAAAATAAGAGGCCAACAGTCTCTAAAGCAGAACAGCCAATGCCAAGCTTTACCCTTCGATAGCACTCCAAGCCAGATACTGATCCAGACTGGGCTGAAAGGAGGAAAGAATGCTTCCCACAATGAAATGCACTTGTCTAAAACCAAACAAAATAGACCTTCCAGGTGGGATAGTAGACTTTCTAACCTTCAAGAGGGTAGGGATGACCAAATCCGATAGGCCTCTGTTCCCCAAGACCTCACTTTCCACAGCCATGCTGTCAAAAACAGTGACTGAGAAGCAGGTTAGTGTATTGGCCCCTAGGACAGAAGATCTGGGAAGGCCTACAGAGAGTCTGTCAGGTGTACCATGCTCTCTTAGGTCAATAAGAATCACTGGAATGTCCTTTTTCTCGAACTTGTGGAAGCAGACAACGGAGAATCTGGAGGAGTAAAAGTGTAGATAAATTTTAAAGAATTACACGGGTATCACCAGAGAGCCCATTGGATAGGCCCGAGAGCCCCTGGACCTGACTACAAACCTGTCCAATTTGTTGTTGAATCTGGAAGCCAGAAGATCAATGTCTGGAGTCTCGTTGCCCACCTGTCCTGTTAAACCTCTGTACGGTCTTGGCCATCCCAGTTTCAGGGCCTTGGCAATCTTATTATAGCCTAGGCCAGGCCTTGAAATTTCCACTCGCCTGCTCACATTGGCGAGTGGAAATAAGGTGGGGGCAAGTGTGTCCCCAGGGCCGTCTTCCTGAGCAGGCTCGATGCTTAGGCCGGATCTGTCACTCGCATTGGGAGATGTCAGACTGCACAAAGATTGAGCAAAGTGAAAGCAAAGGAAGGAGTGTGTTATGCTCTCTGCCTCCCCCTAGAGTGCAGTACCCGGCTCTGTGAGTGAAGGTAACGAAGTACTGCAACTTTTTATAGGGTGGTGTACGTGTGCGTGCGCACGCACGCACGTGTCTGTATGTATGTACATGTGTATTTCTGTGTATATACATGTGTCTGTGCATTTCTGTGTATGTACATGTGTGTATGTGTCTGTACATATCTGTGTATGTATGTACAGGTGTCTGTATGTAAACCTACATGCATGGGTGGTTTGGTAAGGTTCAGGATGATGTGGTTATTATGGGTGGTAGAATATGGGGCATTTGAGGTATTGCTAAGTTGGATAGTAGGTAGGATATGCTTGGCAGAGTTATGGTTTTGTGAGTGATTATGGGGGGTTATGGTTGTATGCGGTGCATGGTCTAAGTATGATGGAGTGTTTAGGGGGACATTGGAGGCCCTGATGTAATGTGGGGGGACTCTGATGTAATGTGGGTAACATTTAACAGTGTCATTTCATGACATAATTTACGTGGGCGTGTTCAGGGGCGGAATTAGGGGTGTAGCAGGGTAGGGGTTGGGTGGGGCAACTGGTGGCGAGTAACTCTTACGGCCTGGCTAGTAGCTTGAAATTTTGAGCCCTGGCCTAGGCCATCTTTATGTAGAGCAACAATTCTTTTCTTCAGATCCTCAGAGTTCTTTGTCATGAGGTGCCATGCTGAACTTCCAGTGACCAGTATGAGAGAGTGATAGCGATAACACCAAATGTAACCCACCTGCTCCCCATTCACACCTGAGACCTTGTAACACTAACGAGTCACATGACCCCGGGGAGGGAAAATGGCTAATTGGGCCCAATTTGGACCTTGTCAGGGGGTGGACTCACTTTTGTTGCCAGAAGTTTAGATATTAAAATGCAGTGTGTTGAGTTATTCTGAGGGGGCAGCAAATTTTCATATTATACAACCTGTACACCGACTACGTCACATTGTAGCAACGTGTCATTTCTTCAGTGTTGTCACAGGAAAAGATAGAATCAAATGTTTACACAAATGTGAGGGGGGGGGGGGCGACTCACTTCTGGGAGATAGTGTGTGTGTGTGTATTATATACATGCAGACACGTACATACATAGATACAGTTGTGTTCCAAATAATAGCAGTGTGATGAAAAAAGTGAATAAAGCTGAAAATCCTTCTAATAGCTTTTATTTCCATCCACACAAATGCATTGGGAACACGGCACATTCTATTCCAAATCAAAACATGAAGAAAAATACATCAAATTTGTGTTGTTCCTCTATAAAAAAAAAAAAAAAAAAAAAGAATGAAGAAAAGTGAATATTAGACGGTTCAAAAAAAAATCGCAGTGTTTGTATTCTTCTTTACAAACTCAAACATTCACTATATAAACTGAGAAATGTTTGAAGATTTTGCTTTCCTTTGAATGACTTCATGAATATTTGGTTGTAGTCGCACTGTTTCTGAGAACTGCTGTACATCTGTGTTGCATGGAGTCACCCAACTTCTGGCCCCTGTGATCAGGTATTCCAGCCCAGGATGATTGGACCACATTCCACAGTTCTTCTCTATTTCTTGGTTTTGCCTCAGAAACGGCATTTTTGACGTCACCCCACAAGTTTTCTATTGGATAAAGATCCGGGGATTGGGCTGGCCACTCCATAACGTCCATCTTGTTGGTCTGGAACCAAGATGTTGCACGTTTACTGGTGTGTTTGGGGTCGTTGTCTTGTTGGAACACCCATTTCAAGGGCATTTCCTCTTCAGCATAAGGCAGCATGACCTCTTCAAGTATTCTGATGTATTCAAACTGATCCATGATCCCTGGTATGCGATAAATAGGCCCAACACCGTAGTATGAGAAACATCCCCATATCATGATGCTTGCACCACCATGCTTCACGGTCTTCACAGTGTACTGTGGCTTGAATTCAGTGTTTGGGGGTCGTCTGACAAACTGTCTCCGCCCACTAGACCCAAAAAGAACAATCTTACTTCCATCAGTCCACAAAATGTTGGGCCATTTCTCTTTAGGCCAGTTAATGTGCTCTTTGGCAGATTGTAACCTCTTCAGCACGTCTTTTTCCCAACAGTGGGACTTTGCGGGGACTTCTTGCAGATAGCTTGGCTTCACATCGGCGTCTTCTAATTGTAACAGTCCTCACAGGGAACGTCACACCTTCTTTCATCTTCCTGGAGCTGATTGTTGGCTGAGTCCGCGCCATTTTGGCTATTCTTCTATCCATTCCAATGGTAGTTTTTCGCTTTCTTCCACGTCTTTCAGGTTTTGGTTGCCAGTTTAAAGCATTTGCCATCATTTTAGCTGAGCAGCCGATCATTTTCGGCACTTCTTTATATGTTTTCCCCTCTCCAATCAACTTTTTAATCAAGGTACGCTGTTCTTCTGAACAATGTCTGGAACGACCCATTTTCCTCAGAATTTCAGAGAGAAATGCACTGTAACCAGCATGTACAACATTTGCTGCCTTCCTTCCTTAAATAAGGGCAATAATTGCCACCTGTTTATCAAAGAATGAATGACCTCACTAATAGAACTCCACACTGCTATTATTTTGAACACGCCCCTTTCAATGAGTGATTCAATGACACAGAATCAGCAGCATGCATGTCATGACTGTTGGGTCTGTTGGATTTCTATTACTCTGCTACACCTGCTAGGACATTATTTGCCATGTAGAAATATCATTTCCACCAAAAACCAGTGATTGATCCGGTTAGTGATGTCTGACTGCTATTATTTTTGAACACAATTGTGTATAAATATATATATATATATATATATATATATATATATATATATATATACACACACACATATATATATATATATATATATATATATATATATATATACACATACATTGTATACAGTCCGGGGGGGGTGGTACTCACTTCTGGGAGATACTGTAGTTCTGCCCAAGATAGAACCAAGTTTGAGTAGTTTTGAGTGGTGCAACTTTTGTACTAGCTTTATTGGAAGTGTACAGACCGGTACACTTCATTCACTGCAATGTCGGATGGCACGATGCGCTGTGCATTTTATCTCAGCACTAAGTGGCGTTGCAGTGTGAACGGCTCAGAGGAGAATTGTTTCCTAGGTGTCCCTGCATGGACAGGCATGTTACCACGTGGAAAAAATGTCTGCCATCGCATATAGCGTGAACTGGCCCTAAAGGCGTGGTGTATGTGCAGTCTGGGTTGCGTACGTTGAGCTGCAGCCTGGGCCTCCCATCTTGGATCAGTCGCGTGCGTCCGCACATCAGAACAAACTCCGCGCACACACTTCTTATTTTGCTTGGAAATTTATTTTATCAGAAAAAAAAAAAAAAAGTAATGTACAAAGTTTTCTCAGCTAGAAAGGACTGACAATCCCTCTGCTATGGAGGGGTAAATAACATCTCACATCCCTTCACAACATAAAAAACACAAAAATATATTTACACTGTACAGGTCTATGTTACATATGTACACGGAGCGCCCTCTTCCTGCCAGGCGGAGCCCGGCACCTTTACATCAGATGAGGAAGAACTCTAGACTGCTGAACCCCCCCCCCCCCCCCACAGGTTAACCCATTCACGGCACCAACGGATCAGTCCATCTCTGTAAACCGTGCAAACATGGCTTTCCTGACGGCATCCTTGTAAGAATCCGATGTGCTGACTCCGTAGGAACTTCCTTTGGCACCGAGACCGGCACCCTTCTGCCGCACCTGAGCCTGCAAGGGGGAATTGGCATTGTTGGTACCAGAAAACAAGATCTTCAGGTGTACTTGCGCCCGACTTCCACCCACACCGGGTTCACATACTCGCCTTCCCCTCCTGTGTTCAGCCATTACATGCTAAGGAACAGACCAGGTCAGCCGTGCATTTACAAGGCAACCAAGGCGTTTGCCTAAGCTGGCAATTTTCAAAGGTTGGTGGTGGTGGGGTGGGGGGTAGCTGCTGACTTTTTTTTTTTTTTTTTTACAGTGAGAGTGGAACTCCGCTTTAAGCGAACCCGTTCTGTAATTCCTACAAAGGTTCTCTTTATTGCACATGGCGGTCCCTTCTCACCTGAATGGGGGCTGTGATTCCCTGACTCTTCCGGCCCAGGCCCGAGCCCTCCTTCCAGCCCATGGCTTGCAGCATTTTGTTTCCAATGTTACTGTGGTCAATCCCATCCTTGGTTGGCTGCTCGTAGTTCCTGTGGTAGGGGGGAAAGGTATAGGTAGGCGCGCTATCCTGATACCAAAACCGTACAGAACCGCCACATCGTGGATACTTACACAGCTGCGTTATCGTACATCTTCCTGCGTTTGGGCTCGGGGGGGTTCTGGAATACCATACTTTTCCCGCCGCTCTGCCGCCCGGTCTCTGTATTTCGCCTGCATAGAAAGACAATCGTCATCATGGCAAGGTTCCTCAACGGGTGTTCATCTCTGAGGAGGGTTCAGGGGAAATAGCCACTCAATTGCTTTTACAAGCAGTCGGAGGGCAGCACAGTGGCTAAATGGTTAGCACTTCCGCCTGGCAGTACTGGGGTTGTTGGTTCGCATCCCAACCACGGCACCACATGCTTGGAGTTTGCATGTTCTCCCTGTGCCTGCGTGGGTTTCCTCCCACACTCCAAAGACATGCTGGGAGGTGAATTGGATCCTGTCTAAATTGTCCCTAGTATGTGTATGTATGAATGTGAGTTAGGGACCTTAGATTGTAAGCTCCTCGGGGGCGGGGACTGATGTGAATGTACAATATATATGTAAAGCGCTGCGTAAATTGATGGCGCTATACAAGTACCTGAAATAAATGTCCTTCCCCCCCCTCCTCCCCCCAGCGCTCTCCCATCCCAGCAACCAGCCGGCATCTCCTCTGCTTTGTTCAGCCAGCGATCAGCTTGACCGGCTCCTCCATTAACCCGGAAGTGACGACCTGACACCTACTAAACATGCCATTTAACCTCTTCACGCCGGCAGCACACAAATGTGCGGCCTCCCAGCGTCTGGGCCTAGACGCCAAGCGGCCGCACATTTGTGTGCAATTAACAAAAAACATATGTGCTGAGAGCGCGCTCCCAGCGCGTTCCCTGCCCGCTCCCAGCACACATGTCCGGTACTCACGGAAAGGTCCCGGTCTGCTCTTTCGATCAGGACCTTTCCTGATCATGTGACCGCCGTGATGACGCATCGCTGCGGTCACATGATCCCTAAACCCCGCCCCGCCTCCTGGCTTCTGAAACTCTTAAAAGGCCAGGAGGCACCGGCGGGAAGGGGTAAAAAAAAAAAAAAAAATAAAACCTGAAAGCATTCAAAAACACGTTTTGAATCCATTTAAGTTCAGAGGAGTGATCTGGGGTCTTATAGATCCAAGATTTCGCCATAAAGAGTACCTGTCACTGCCTATTGCTGTCACAGGAAATGTCCACAATTCTTGTGACAATAAGGCTACGTTCACACTAGCTCTGTCAGCAGGCGTCAGACAGGCGTTTTTAACGCTTCTCAAACACCTCTGAAAATTCTGCACATTGCAGCACATAGTGCTGTTCACATGGAAGTGTTAGCGTCGCGGCAAAACAGATGCCTCTGGTCCAGTCAGGAGGAGTTGAAGCCTCCCATTCAAGTCTATGGTGCCGCTCCACAAACGCCTGGCAGGTGTTTGTGATGCGTTTGTGGAACGTTAATACCATTTAAACTTCATTATAGGCATTTGTCGTGCGGTTTTAACGCTTGGCAAATGCTTACCAACCACCACACAACCGCGCATAGGGCGTTAGGGGAGCGTTAAAAACACTTCACAAACGCCTAACGCTATAGGGGCGTTTGGCAAGAGTTAGAAATAAAGTCAAGTGTGAACGAGCCCAAAGTGCTAAAAAAAAAAAAATGTAACCACTTGCCCCTCCTGAGGATTTCCCCCCTTCCTGACCAGGTCATTTTTTTCATTACTTTAGACGACAATTGCGCGGTCATGCAACAATGCACCCAAATGAAATTTACATCTTTTTTTCCCACAAATTGAGCTCTTTTTGCACCCACTAAGCCGCAGGCAGCGTGTACAGCCGGCATAGAAGTGAATGGCTGTACATGCTTGCACCGGAGGAAACACGAACGCTTTCTTTCTTACCATGCACGTGGATTCCCAAATTGCGACAAAAGTTGCACATTTGGGAAATGTGTCATGGGGGTGAAAACGCTGATGCACTTGTTTACAAAAATCACAATTCTGAGGTGTGATCCTACGCCGTAGTTACAGAAGTGGAAGGATGGGGGCTGGTATTCACCTCTCGTTCTCGTTGCTCCAATGCCTCCAAATCCTGTTCTGACAATCTGGATCTCCGGTACACTTCCAGGTTTTGCTGTAAAATACAAAACAGGCACATTATTTATCAAAGCACCAAAAAAAAAAAAAAAAAAAAAAAAAAAAGGATCTGCGTGGGCCCACAGCCCCCGGAATAAGGGCGATCTGCGTCGGCCCACCCCCCCCCCGGAATAAGGGCGATCTGCGTCGGCCCACACCCCCCCCGGAATAAGGGCGATCTGCGTCGGCCCACACCCCCCGGAATAAGGGCGATCTGCGTCGGCCCACACACCCCCCCGGAATAAGGGCGATCTGCGTCGGCCCCACCCCCCCCCGGAATAAGGGCGATCTGCGTCGGCCCACCCCCCCCCCCGGAATAAGGGCGATCTGCGTCGGCCCACACCCCCGGAATAAGGGCGATCTGCGTCGGCCCACACCCCCCGGAATACGGCCGATCTGCGTCGGCCCACACCCCCCGGAATACGGCCGATCTGCGTCGGCCCACACCCCCCGGAATAAGGGCGATCTGCGTCGGCCCACACCCCCCGGAATAAGGGCGATCTGCGTCGGCCCACACCCCCCGGAATAAGGGCGATCTGCGTCGGCCCACACCCCCGGAATAAGGGCGATCTGCGTCGGCCCACACCCCCAGGAGGAAAGATCTGCGTCGGCCCACACCCCCCAGAATAGAAGCGATCTGTGTCGGCCCACACCCCCCGGAATAAGAGCGATCTGCGTCGGCCCCACACCTCCAGGAGGAAAGATCTGCGTCGGCCCACACCTTCAGGAGGAAAGATCTGCGTCGGCCCACACCCCCCGGAATAAGGGCGATCTGCGTCGGCCCACACCTCCAGGAGGAAAGATCCGCATCGGCCCACACCCCCCAGAATAGAAGCGATCTGTGTCGGCCCACACCCCCCAGAATAGAAGCGATCTGTGTCGGCCCACACCCCCTGGCATACGAGCGATCTCCATCTGCCCACACCCCCTGAATTCCTAAGTGAGGCAGAGTCTCTCACCTTGTGCAGATCTGACAGCTGCTGGTGCCTGCTGAGAGCATCTTTGTTGGGGAATTGCCTCCGGCACAGTAAACAGGCCAGTTTCTTCCAATCCGTTAATTTATCCTCATCGATTAGTGCCAGAGGCCGCTCGATCTCCTCTTCATTGTCACTGTCACCACTGTAAGCTGCAACCAGGGCCCTCTGCACACAGAAAACATGGTTAAGACCGTCCAGGAGCAGAGAACACAGATATAGAAGACAAGAACGCAGTCTCACGTTAGGTGGCTTCTCTTCCTCAGCGGCAACCATCATCATTATCTCCGGGAGGATCTGCCTCTCCAGTAAGGCTCCTTGCTGTGGATACAGAAAAGGAGAGGTGACTTTCTATGCACCAAGTACAGCAGAGACCCTTAAGCGGAGCTCCACCCAAAAGGGGAAGTTCCACTTTAAGGACTGCTCCCCCGCTCCCCATTAAGGATTTTTGTAGCTGCTGACTTATTTATTGACGGGGTAAGTGGAACTCCGCTTTAGGTGGCGATATTGCCGCCGTCTCACCTTCTTTTCAAACAAAGCGAACCCGGCGTCAGCCGCTGCAGACTCTTTGCGGTCTTCATCTCGGGCATTTAGAGGCTGGAAGCTGTTCTTGAAGTTCTCCTTTTGTTTGTTCAAGCTCTTTGCCCAGCGCTCCATGTCTTTAGCGATCTGATGAGAAAAAAAAAAAAATCGTTATAGATCACTGTAGCCCAAGTGGTCAGGTTCCCATAGTACCTCCCTTTGCACTGCCTTCTCTGTACCTGCTGGGCAGTCTTGCTCTTTGGTTTCTCTTTCTTCTCTTTGCCCTCCTTGGTGCCGGACGTGGAAGCGCTGTTGGGCCCGGCTCCACCGGCAGCAGAGTCTGCGGCTGGCAGATAGGTCTGCTTCTCCCCGTCCCAGTACAGGTACTGCTGTGTCACGGAGTTGTAGTAATACTGTAGACAGACAGAAGAATGAAGGACCCTCCATGCAGCCGCCATTAAGACGGAGGCTCAGCTAACGTGCCCACGGCCACCCGACTTACCTGAGAATTGGGGTCGTAGTAGAGACTAGTCTGAGGGTCGTAGTAGTAGCCGGAAGATTCATCGTACTGGTATGTGGAAGTGTCAGGAACAGCTGTGAGGAATATAGAGATAGATTTTATTTATATTATATATATATATATATATATATATATATATAAAAAATTTGTTTTTCCCTGAAAACATTTTGTTAAATCTGCTTTATAAATACAAAGAAAAAATACGGAGTGTGTGAATATATATTTATTTATTGAAATATATTGAATATGGCCAAAATTGTAGCATTTCAAATAAATGTCATATTTGGGAAGAATATTTTTTAAATTTTTTTTTTTTATCTAGATGAAACTGGCCCCGAGGAACTGCGATTTGGAGAACCGACAGTCTGCATTGCCTCACAACAAACTCATGCTTTCAGTGAATTTTATTTTGAGGCCACATAGACAAATGACTGTTCAGGCAGCAAGATCAACCCACCGAGTGACACTTACCGTATTTAACGCCTGGAATGATGGGATTAGGAGTAGCAGCATCTGGTGTACTGGGTGCAGCACTGCTTGTTGCACTGGTGCTGGACTGTGTCTGGGGGGGGGGGGGGGGGGGGGGGTGAGAAAGATGATTAAGACATGGCAATACTGAGCTGCCTATTGTAGTTTACATGAAGAGGACAAAGATGTAAAATCCCCAATCACTAACATGCCAACAGAATATTAAATGTACTCGAGGATGTAGAGGCTGCAATGGCCTGAATAATACCCATTTCCAGCACCCTACAATCAGATAATGGGGGGGATAGGAGTGTCATACAATTCTCTATAATAATGGGGGGGATACAGGAGTCCTATACAGTTCTCTAATAATGGGGGGATGGTGGTCCTATACAGTTCTCTAATAATGGGGGGATGGTGGTCCTATACGGTTCTCTATAATAATGGAGGTATAGGAGTCCTATATACAGTTCTCTATAATAATGGAGGGATAGGGGTCCTATATACAGCTCTCTATAATAATGGGGGGATAGGAGTCCTATATACAGCTCTCTATAATAATGGGGGGATAGAGGAGTAATATACAGCTCTCTATAATAATGGGGGGATAGAGGAGTAATATACAGCTCTCTATAATAATGGGGGGATAGAGGAGTCCTATACAGCTCTCTATAATAATGGGGGGGATAGAGGAGTCCTATACAGCTCTCTATAATAATGGGGGGATAGAGGAGTCCTATACAATTCTCTATAATAATGGGGGGGATACAGGAGTCCTATACAATTCTCTATAATAATGGGGGGGATACAGGAGTCCTATACAGTTCTCTAATAATGGGGGGATGGTGGTCCTATACAGTTCTCTATAATAATGGAGGTATAGGAGTCCTATATACAGTTCTCTATAATAATGGAGGGATAGGAGTCCTATATACAGTTCTCTATAATAATGGATAGGAGTCCTATATACAGTTCTCTATAATAATACAGGAGTCCTATACAGTTCTCTAATAATGGGGGGATGGTGGTCCTATACAGTTCTCTATAATAATGGAGGTATAGGAGTCCTATATACAGTTCTCTATAATAATGGAGGGATAGGAGTCCTATATACAGTTCTCTATAATAATGGATAGGAGTCCTATATACTTCTCTATAATAATGGGGGGATAGAGGAGTCCTATACAGTTCTCTAGAATAATGGATAGGAGTCCTATATACAGTTCTCTATATAATAATGGCGGGATAGGAGTCCTATATACAGTTCTCTATAATAATGGCAGGGATAGGAGTCCTATATACAGTTCTCTATAATAATGGGGGGATGGGGGTCCTATACAGTTCTCTATAATAATGGGGGGATAGGAGTCCTATATACAGTTCTCTATAATAATGGATAGGAGTCCTATATACAGTTCTCTATAATAATGGATAGGAGTCCTATACAGTTCTCTATAATAATGGAGGGTATAGGAGTCCTATATACAGTTCTCTATAATAATGGAGGGATAGGAGTCCTATACAGTTCTCTATAATAATGGCAGGATAGGAGTCCTATATACAGTTCTCTGTAATAATGGGGGGATGGGGGTCCTATACAGTTCTCTATAATAATGGGGGGATGGAGGTCCTATACAGTTCTCTAATAATGGGGGGATGGGAGTCCTATACAGTTCTCTATAATAATGGGGGATGGGGGTCCTATACAGTTCTCTATAATAATGGAGGGATAGGAGTCCTCCTATAGTTCTCTATAATAATGGAGGGATAGGAGTCCTATACAGTTCTCTATAATAATGGGGGGATAGGAGTCCTATACAGTTCTCTATAATAATGGAGGGATAGGAGTCCTATACAGTTCTCTATAATAATGGAGGGATAGGAGTACCTATATACAGTTCTCTATAATAATGGGGGGATAGGAGTCCTATATACAGTTCTCTATAATAATGGGGGGATAGGAGTCCTATACAGTTCTCTATAATAATGGAGGGATAGGAGTCCTATACAGTTCTCTATAATAATGGGGGGGATAGGAGTCCTATACCTTTCCCTGTACGATTCCTATTTATTATTTCGGGGTATTAAACCCATAGAGCTCTCTGTGCTTTCATTACCCACCATGCACCGTATGACTTTCACTACCTGGAGGAGATCCCAATCACTCACCGGAGATCTAGGGTGCTGGGTAGAGCTGGGGGCTCTGACATACGACAGCTGCACTGGTGGTAGTGGTGGCGGGAGCTCCCTCTAAAAGAAAAGACAAAGCACAACATTATGAAGGGGATCAGGCTGATGGTCCACACTGAATTCGTGAGATCTCGTTTTGTAACTACAAACTGATGTGATTTGGAAAGTGGATCGCACGTGCTTAGACAAACCTAGCTGGGAATTGACTGAAGAAGCTGAAGATAAAATAAGCTAGTCGAGCTAAAAGATGGATTGTCTCCATGTGAGGTTCACCATTTTTTAGAACTTTTAAGACTTGGTTCACATATATGCTGCAATCTTAGCCTCTGATCTGCAAATGCTGTGGTGCTGCACATGTGATCAGTTATGACTCCAGTCACTGGACAGTTTGAAAGCACAAGCAAATGTGACAGTTAACATTCGCACCACGCAACTTTTTTAAATCGTTCGATTGCTGGGTTTAGTTCTGCTTTAAATGTACAGGTCATGCATAGAGCAAGGGGTTATTATACAGGTCATATACATTGGCAGGATAGAGAAAATGGGGTTAATGTTCAGATGGGCAGGATAAGGGAGGCGAGGGATCACTACACAGGTCACTAGGGACTATATTGCATATAGTAGGTGTAGGAAAGAAGGGGGAAGGAAAGGTTACCCCCAAAAAAAAAAAAAAAAAAAAAAAAAATTATATATATATATATTATATATATATATATATATATATATATATATATATATATCTCTCCATCCCTGTGTCACTACAACAAAAATTAGTGGATATGCAGCTGATTTACCCTTTTGTAAGGGGAGGGATCAGCACTAGTGGTGCACCGAAATGGAACTTCTGGTGCCGAAACAGATACCGAAAATTCAGAATGCATGTGGCCGAAAACCGAACCAAAATGTCTGAGTATGTGGGGAGGCTCCAATTTTTTTTTTCTACTTTCATGTATATTTTTTTTTCTATTTTATAACCTATGATTTTATCGCTATCACATAGGGGACCAATAGTACCCTATGTAATAGCATATGAGTGACAGGTCCTCTTTGTAGGCAGGAGGGGTAGGGAGAAGAGCAGTGGAGGGGGAAAGAGAGGAGCAGTGTATATAGTGAGGTAGCAGTGTATACAGAGAGGCTCACTCACTGGCTGTCAGTATATGTCGGTGCCGATTTTTAAATGCAATCACCGTCTTTTTTCCCTTCACTACAGCTCACAGAATTAGCTGTCACTTTCCAGGAGCTAAAGGAAACTTTGTTTCTTTTAACTCTGGGAAATAAACTAAAAGGAAACATTGTTTCTTTTAACTCTAAAAGGAAATTGTGTTTCTTTTAGATGGGGAGAAAGTGACAGCTGATTCTCTGAGCTATAGCTGGTAATTACAGTTAAAAACTGGCACTGACATATAGTGACAGCCAGTCACTGTATACACTGCCTCTCCTCCCTTTCTCTGCCGCCCCCCCCCCCCCCCCACATCTGCAGTACACACAGTCCCCTGTATCGGCTAAAAATTTTCGGACATGTTTCGGTGGCCAAAATTTTGGTGCATCTCTAATCAGCACGGTGAATAGTACCATGTGATTGCTGTGATGACCAATCACGATGATCACATGGTACCCAGCCCCTCGGGTCGTCTAGGTACAATGGTGTGTTGAGCTGCCTAATGACAGCTCAGGACACAGCGATGACACAGCGGATTGGCAGCTCGGCAGCTATGTATCCAGTGCCATTCACAAATGGCACCGGGTAATAAAAAGAACTGCCGATCAGCTGTTGAAAAACGTAGATTGGTACATAACTGGTTAACGGAAGTCAACAGGCTGACCGGTTCACTTGTACAGGAACAACCAATGAGAAGTACTTTCTGCTGACCTGTTGTTGCTGCTCCTTGTTCAGCTCCTCCGGCCTGAGACTGGTAATATTGTTGATAATCCTAATAAAAAGACATGTATTTATTTTATCACCAGAAAGGAAGACAAAAAAAAAAATAAAAACAAAAAAATAAAAACACCGCTTACTTGTCCATATTGAGAGAATCCTTCTTGTCCTTGCTGACCATAGCCAAACTCTGCCCCCTCCCCACTTTGCTGAGGCTGAAACAAGAAAACATTTCATATAAACTGGCGGGAGAGAATTCAGAAAAACTGAAAATATTTATAATCTGTAAAGACTTTGCACTCCATTGCAGAAACCTGAAATGTCAATTGTCAACTTCTTGCAATTTGCAGTGCGATTTCTATTCTATTCTATGTGAAATCGCAACAAAACTGCAGAACAAGTCATGCAAGACCTACTTTAGAGATTGCGCTGCAGCAAAATCGCACATAACACGCGGACATTCACAAGGTGCGATTTCAATTTGTAAATTGAACATGACACAGTGGAGCACCAGTGTGAGGTCCCGATCACGTGATCACTGATGCCTCTGCAAGTGAAATCTGCGCGTCAATTCCCATCAGTTTTTCTGCACGTATGGCGTGAACGAGGCCTTACATCCCTGGCCATACCAAACCCGACTTTGAAAATCACGTGACTTACAGTGAAGTCGCACGATTTTAAAGTCAGGGGACCTGCCAATTTCAGGTGTGATTTGCAAGATATCTGACACAGACGTCTATGCAAATCGCACCAAAAGTAGTGCGTGCACTACTTTAGAAATCGGTGCAGCTACGAACAACTTGGAACCGCACCGATAGGGCCGCTCTAACCCCCGGTTCACATACATGCGGCCGTGCGGGCCGTGTTTTGCTCGGGCACGAGAGCCAATTCATTTGAATGGACTCCCGTGCCACGCAGGGAAGAAGTCCCGGCACTTTTGGAAAACGCAGCCGAGGTTCCCAGTGCGGTTGCGTTTTCCAGTGCGGGCGGCGTGCCATTAGAAGTAATGGCACCCACCCGCGGGTGCGCATTACTCTGTGCGGGTGGGATTTTCGTGCGGACCCACATCAGCACCACCCGCACAGATGTGAACCTACAGTTACTGCGGACAATAGGGTGCGACCTTTTCAAGTCGCATGGCATGCCAATTCGCATACAGTGCAACCCGGGGCTTAATGGTTGAAAAAAAAAAAAAAAAGTTACATTTCAGGCACGCTGGCAATGATAACTGTCAGATTGCTTGTGCTCTCTACCAAACTGTCAGCCCATCAAATGTCTGGTGTCATGAACTGATCACATGTGCAGCTCCGACGACAGTCGCAGATCAACTAGAGGCAAAGATGGCAACTTTCCTGGCTAAAAAGGAGGATAGGAGGGTTTAGTTCTGCTTTTCTGCCCCATCACCTTCCCTACCCCATTCAGTACACAGAACCCCTCACCTGAGTGGATGACCACTGAGCGGCGGCAATGGCTGTGCTTGCTACAGAGAATGCGCTGACCCGGTTTCCATCTGGCAGAACAAGATCCCTGTAATAAAGAAATACAATGGGTAAGCTTGTTTCTTGCGATTGAAGGATCGGTACCACAACAGCTACTTGGAATCACAACTAGACGCACGGCTGACTGAGCCCGGGTTCACATATGTGCGATATATCGCATGTGATTCGCGCAGGAACCGCACCGCATTCCTCTGCCAATCACATGCGATTTGTGTGCGGTGCGATCGGAGCTGTACATTTTTTACATATGGCTCTAATATCACACCGCACCCGCACCAAAAAGGTGTAGGGCCCTTTTTTTGGGTCCGCACTCGAATCGGATCGCGTGGGTATTCACACCTATGCGATCCGATTCTCCACATCGCACCGCATTTTACAGACCGCTTTCGGGGTGTTAACATACACACCTGCAGCGGTTCGCATGAACGGGGTGCGATTCTGATGCGGTGCGGAATTCGCACTGAAAACGCTGAGAATTCCGCACCGTGTCAGTGTGGACCTGGGCTGAAAGTGAAACTTCATTCTCTTTTGACATGGACTACTTTAATCCTTCTGCTGCTAGCAGTAGTAAACAGATAGGAAGGTATATTGTATTTACTTGTTTACATTTTTTTTTTTTTTTTTACATTCCTGGTTTTTGGTCTAGGCCGGGGGTGGGCATCTGCGGCCCTCCAGCTGTTGAACTACAAGTCCCATGAGGCATTGCAAAACTGACAGCTACAAGCATGACTCCCAAAAGGCAGAGGCATGATGGGACTTGTAGTTCACCAACAGCTGCAGGGCCACAGCTGCTCACCCCTGGTCTAGGCAAATGACATACATCCCAAAAGTCTTCGGGTGGGGGGGAGAGAGGAGGATGGGTTTTCTCAGCAAAGCACACCCTCCAGCCTACATGGCTAAGGGCAGATGGATTCCAGGAAATAAATGCTACATGAATCATCTGCCCTTACTCAAGATGGCCATGGTCAGAAATGCTGGGGGGGGGGGGGTGCGATTTCCTGGCAAAAGAAAGAAGACATGGATGGGTTTGTTTGAATATTAAAAATGAATTAAATAGTTTTTGGTTTGTGGTGCTCAGATTCAGTGCAGTTCCTCTTCAAGCAGGATCAGGTTATTATTATACAGGATTTATATCGCGCCAACAGTCTGCGCAGCGCTTTACAAAATAAAGGTAAGACATTAGTTACAAAACAATTTGAATGAGGAAGAGGCTGAGTCCTCGAAACGCGTCAGCCAGTTGGTCATCCAGGGTTCCATCGTTGTGGACTCAGATGCTCTATGGATTGAACACCACTCTTCACTGTGTTTTCATTCAGCCTGTGTTTTATATGTCCATTGTGAGTATGATCCCTACTTTTTTATTCTTTCAATAAATATTTTTTACGCTAATGCACTAGGCCGGAGCGCCCTCTTTTTGTTTTTCTTTTGCATACAGTGACTTAGGACTACCCCGGTCCCTTGAGGGCAGCAGGAGGGCATATTCCAGGACATTTACATTGTCCTCCTAACCTCAGCTGAGTACATCCCCAGCGCAGGAGTAAAGTATTTGCTGTGTTTGTTACAGGAGGAAACAGAGGGCCCTGCTCCTGGGAGCTTACAATCTAGGACAGGGCTAGGCAACCTGCGGCTCTCCAGCTGTTGCAGGACTACAAGTTCCATCATGCCTCTGCAAGTCATAGCTGTAACTGTCAGCTTTGTGATGTTGCAATTGTCTCATGGGAAATGTAGTTCCACAACAGCTAGAGAGCCGCAGGTTGCTTACCCCTGATCTAGGAGATAAGTTCCAGAGCACTTCCTGTCACATGACTGCCTGGAACATCCACTTACTTCCTGGCGCTTTTTGCAAAATCCACACCGATCGTCTTCCCCATCGATTTTGAGAGGCGGCTGAAGAGTCTGGAGAATCTGCAGCAGCTGCGAGGCTTCCTATGGAAAGGAGTAGGGGAAAAGGCAGGTGAGTCAGGTTCGGGAGGAGTAAGCATTCCTGTCGTTCTCTAACATGGGAACGACCACTTACCAATGCGGATGGCAGCTGAACGAAGGCGAATCCTCGGTTCTGTTGGGTCTGCTTGTCTTTGATCAGCCGGATGTTGCTCACCGCCAGAGACACGTAAGGAGCCAGCGCAGCCAGGATGGACTCCATCGCAGTGTGTGGCCCAATGTTCCGGAGGATTATGGCTGAGGATACATAGCCACCTAATAAGGTTACACCCAGCTGTCTAGAAAGGAGTCGCCTCCACAGGTAAGCCTTCCCCTCCCCCATGGCCTAATAACTGCACACAGCCAAATCGCAAAGCCCCAAAACCACCGCTTCTGCCCCAAAACCACCCCACCCGCCCCATGCTGGCCCGCAAAACTTAACTCACAACCTGCATTTGGAAGGCTGAATCACTCACCAAATCCAAACACCAGAACCTTCCTCCAGCACACTTCTAACCTGAGCCTATGACAGTCCAACATAGAGGGAACGCAGCTTTAGAAACACTTACTGTCGCTGTAGTAATCTGCTGATGGAGGAGCATCAGAAGCACCAGCTGGGGCCTCCACATCGGATTCTGCTGGGGCAGAGGATGAAACATCATTAACCACCTGACCTGCGGAAGGTCTTACAACCTTTTTTCTTGCTATTTTTTTTTTCTTGCTATTCAGCACTGCGCTACTTTAACTTGCAATTGTGTGGTCATGCAACTGAAATCAATTTTTTTTTTTCACACCAAATAAGCCTTTTGTTGGTATTTGATTACCACTGCATTTTTTATATTTTATTATATAAATGAAAAATGACTGAAAATTTTGGGGAAAAATAAAATATTTTATACTTTCTGCTATAAAATACATCTAATAATATTAAGAAAAATCGTCATAAATTTAGGCCTCTACGTCTGCTAAATAAAACTAAACAAAAACCCAGTACGTGTATATTAGTTGGTCTGAGTGAAAGTTATAGCATCTACCAATGAGGGTGTAAATATACTGGAATGTAGGCAGCTATGGTGCTATACTGGTAATGGCGATGATCAGCGACTTGTAGTGGGACTGTGATAGTGTGGTGGGCAATCTGGCACTAGCTGATGTTGGCTGGGAGGTACACTGACATCAATAGTGACACTGATACAGTGATCAGAATGAATACTGTGCACTGTACTAATGACATTGGCTGAGAAGGGGTAAAGGGTTAACTGTGTGCCTAACAATGTGTAGTGTGCTGCTTTTTCTCACCGATCTGGCTGTTTTTTTCTCCCTGCTTTACAGCCAGATCGCTGTTCCCTGCACACAAAGGTTATTGGCTGAAATCAGCTTTCAAACTCTGTGTCCAATTACAGCACGGGCCAGAAGGGTGCACAAGCATGTGCGCCCAAAACCTGCAGGAAGGGCAATTGTGTACATACACTGGCTCGGAAGAAGTCCTATGACGAAACGCGTCGGAAGGAGCCTCCCCCGTGATGTCATCGTGCACAGAATATCCTGGAAGTGTGGTCCTTTTGCCGGCTTGGGTGACTTTTACAACATGAGCATTTGATTTTATGTTTGTAAGTGTGGCTCTGTATTTAATAAATGGTGTATATACAATATTTACACAATGTGAAGCGTATCTCTGCTCTATTTACATGGTATGAATTGCTGGAAATTTTAATTGCGTCCTGGCGGAGTGGCATCCTTGGGAACGGCATGGAGAGAAGTGACTGAGGCTGGGCTGATTTGGAGAGAAGTGACTGAGGCTGGGCTGATTTGGAGAGAAGTGACTGAGGCTGGGCTGATTTGAACGGACGTTGACTTCTCTGAAAAAAGGGGGTCAAATACATTTGGTAAGCCCGTATCTTATTCACTATTCCTGGTGATGGGTGGCACTGGTGACATTGCATCGTCTGGAGATTACTTCAGGACTCCATACTGAATTTCAAGTGGACCTTTTTTCCTCAATGAATCGCTATATATTTAAAAAAAGAGGACTCCCCTTTATAATTAAATTTTGTTAACGTTTTTTAGTTACTTTATGTGTTGTATCAGGGGTCTCCAAACTTTGGAAACAAAGGGCCAGTGTATTACCCTATAGACTTTAGGGGGGCTGGAATGTGGCCATAGGGAGAAAAGGTCATGACATCAGTGGGAATAAACTATGCCCCTTCTTTGGTGTCAATGGTAAGAATGGTAAGCCAGCCTTGGTGTCATTGTAAGAAACTGTGGCTCGTTGGTGTCATTAGGAGGAATTGTGCCCCATCATTGGGCCTCATTGTTATTGTAAGGAACCGTGGCCCATTGTTGGTATCGTTGGGAGAAACTGTGCCCCTTCAATGGTGTCAGTGGAGAGAATTATGCCCCATTGTTGGTATCAGTGGATGAAATATTGCCCCAAGGCCCGCACAAAAACAAGCAAAGGGCCACATCTGGCCTCCATGCCATAGTTTGGAGACCACTGTGTTATATTATCGGGCAGCACAGTAGCTAAATGGTTAGCACTTCCTCCTGGCAGTACTCGGGTTGGGTTGTTGGTTCAAATCCCAACCACAGCACCACCTGCCTGGAGTTTGCATGTTCTCCCTGTGCCTGCGTGGGTTTCCTCCGGGTACTCCGGTTTCCTCCCACACTCCAAAGGACATGCTGGTAGGTGAATTGGCTCCTGTGTAAATTGTCCCTAGTATGTGTATGTATGAATGTGATAGGGACCTTAGATTGTACGCCCCTTGAGGGTTAGGGACCTTAGATTGTACGCCCCTTGAGGGTTAGGGACCTTAGATTGTACGCCCCTTGAGGGTTAGGGACCTTAGATTGACGCCCCTGAGGGTTAGGGACCTTAGATTGTACGCCCCTTGAGGTTATGATGTGAATGTACAATATATAGTAAAGCGCTGCGTACATTGATGGCGCTATATAAGTACCTGAAATAATAATATTATGACTATATGTTATAAATCAATGTGGATTTTTTTTTATTGCACAAATTCTATGCATTTACAGTGCAATATTATTATTATAATACAGGATTTATATGGCACCAACAGTTTGCGCAGCGCTGTACAAAATGAAGGCAGACATTACAGTTAATATTTGGTACAAGAAGAAACAGAGGGCCCTGTTAGTGCATACAACTTAAGATCAATTAGTTCACATTTGAGGGGATATCTTTTGTTTTGTGTTTGCTGATATTATATATATATATATATATATATATATATATATATATATATATATAGATAGATAGATATAGATAGTTAGTTATAGTTATTTTTTATACACACACGCGTGTGTAACGTATATAAATAAAATAACGTATATATATATATATATATATATATATATATATATATATATATTGTTTGCACTTTGTCACTAATAGTGGCACTATTTTCGCTATATGACGATTGACAGTTATATCATGGATTCATGACATTGCATTTTATTTTTTTATTTATTGCATTTTATTATATTCCAAGATTTATATTATCTAGAGCTGCACCCTATTTAACATTTGGTTTCAGAAGGTTGTTTTGGTGCCCTTTTGGTGTATACAGCAGCTCGCCAATTAGCGCTCACTTTTGCACACTGTGTGTGTATATATATATGTATGTGTATATGTGTGTATGTGTGTATGTATGTATGTATGTATGTATGTATGTATGTATGTATGTATATATATATATATATATATATATATATGTGTGTGTGTATATATATAAAAAAAAAAAAGTATATATTTTATATTACGCACACATTTTATTATATATACACACACACACCATTGTGCCTTTATCTGCCACCTGCTCACACTATATTGACTGTGAGCGGGCAGCAGGAGGTTAAAGGGGAGCACTAACACCACATCCAAAGACAAGCCTGAGATCTTTGTTGCAACATGCTTGGTTCTTCAATAGTGTATGATTTATACAAGACAAACAGGATATGTGTTGCTAAAAATCAAGAGCCAATCCTAACATTTGTGTACTGGCTACAATAAACTGAGTACTGTTACCTTCACAGACCCCCTGAACACGGAACCTGGCAGTCTTTGAACACTCACCGGTCTTGGCTGCCCCACAGCGGAAGCATTTTAGTCTTCGTCGGAAGTTGTACAGGCCACACTACAAAACCAGAGAGCTTTACACTTAATATGGACCGTTCGGCAGCATCCTGAACCCCTCCGCCCCCCCCCCCCCAATCCATCCATCACCTCCAATAAAACCTCAACCACTCACCTTGTAGCACAGCCAGTCCTCAAACTTGGGGCGGGGGTTGCTGTAATGCATGGCGATGGTCTTGCCTTGGATCACCAGCTTTTTCTGCAAGAACATAAACAAGGGGAAAGTTATTCCCGGCATCCCGGCAGGCGGACGTTTACACCCTGGCGGAGGGGAGTCAGCTCCCGACATTAATGTGGACAGCAATGTGGGGAAGGACCGCCCACTGCCAGCTACATGCATTGCCCAGCCAGCCCGAAGGGGGTCAAGGCTGCCGATGGAAGACACAAAAAGAAGGGGGGCGGTGCTATAGACAAGAGCAACGGGGGCTCCAGAGAGATGAGAGTTAACATTGCAGGCAGTTATTTTCCAATCTGTCAGTGTAACAAGTCTCTGTAAACATTCTGGAAATCGTGTCATCAGAAATACGTTTCTCCCCCCCTCCCCACCCCCATAAGTCTACCACACCCAGATCGCAATGCACCCACCCACCTCTGTCGCTAGATTGGCCGACATGAGGAACGTAAAACTCTTTTAATCGTACAATCATCCCACTGAAAAGTGCTGGGTCTTCCCTCCCGCGAGGGTTGAGCTGGAGGGGTGGGGGTGGGGATGTCACAGGTTCTGGATAAGAAGTATCAGCACTTTCCCCGGAGTCTGCAATGTGTAGCCAGGCCACACAACGGGATATATTTTATATCTGCAGACTCCAATATACAATGTAGAAGTTTTTAAAGAAAACCTGCCTTGGTGACTATGCTGAGGCTTCCATCCAGCGCGGAATCCTGCAAGGACAAAAAATGTCCACGGACATGACCGCACGAGGCGACGAGTGCCGTGCCGTCTCCAACAAGGAGGACACAGCAGCCTCCAGAGCTAGACAGGAGCCTCAGATGCCCTGACTGGGATTAAAAGGGGAACCTGGCCATCAGATGCCCAGATTTGGGATTAAAAGGGGAACCTGGCCATCAGATGCCCAGACCTGGGATTAAAAGGGGAACCTGGCCATCAGATGCCCTGACCTGGGATTAAGAGGGGGGACCTGGCCATCAGAGCTGACCTGGGATTAAGAGGGGGACCTGGCCATCAATGCCTGACCTGGGATTAAAGGGAAACCTGGCCATCAAAAGCCCTGGCCTGGGATTAAAGGGGGAACCTGGCCATCAAATGCCCTGACCTGGGATTAAAAGGGAAACCTGGCCATCAAATGCCCTGACCTGGGATTAAAGGGGGACCAGGCCATCAAATGCCCTGACCTGGGATTAAAGGGAAACCTGGCCATCAAAAGCCCTGACCTGGGATTAAAGGGGGACCTGGCCATCAAATGCCCTGACCTGGGATTAAAGGGGGACCTGGCCATCAGATGCCCTGGGATTAAAGGGGACCTGGCCATCAAAAGCCCTGGCCTGGGATTAAAGGGGGACCTGGCCATCAAATGCCCTGACCTGGGATTAAAGGGGGACCTGGCCATCAAATGCCCTGGGATTAAAGGGGGACCTGGCCATCAAATGCCCTGGCCTGGGATTAAAGGGGGACCTGGCCATCAATGCCCTGGCCTGGGATTAAAGGGGGACCTGGCCATCAGATGCCCTGGCCTGGGATTAAAGGGGACCTGGCCATGGCAATACTAAAAAAAAAATAAATAAAAATATAAAAACACAACTGACAGCCTTGACTCCAGTCATTCAATGTTTACTTCCCCCATCTACACACTGGTACCTCTCCTGCATAGACAGGCTGTGCTACCCATGTGGAGTTGCAGAGAACATGTGTCTGTGGAGATTCTCAGCAGTACGCCCGGGAGAGGGAGGGGGCCTGCGTACACCAGGCCTCTGTGTACATTAGAGACATGGGGGGGGGGACGTGACGCGACGCAGCCAGCACACCACAGATGTGAGAAGAGGTTGTGAAGTTCCGAGAGATTTCTCCATGAACGGCTTCTAAAACATTTCAACCAATCGTAAGTCTTCTAGAGAACATTTTTTTTTTTCAGGAGTACATTTCAGAATGGAACTTCTAAAGGGTTAACATTTATCCCTGTCAGTTCTGGGGGGCTCTGGTTTGACCTGCAGTATAGATGAAAGCCACAATGAACCTCATAAATGAGAACAGCGAGGAGTCCAATGATGAGAGAGGAGAGAGAGAGAGAGAGCTGTGGGAGGAGCCCAGCAGGCTGCACCCACTACAGGAGGGGGCGGAGACAAGACCAGCCACCCTACATAAGGAGGGGGTGAGAGCAGAGCTGTGGGAGGAGCCCAGCAGGCTGCAACCACTACAGGTTGTCTTTAGAAAACTACAGGAGGGGGCGGAGACAAGACCAGCAACCCTAAACAAGGAGGGTGAGAGCAGAGTTGTGGGAGGAGCCCAGTAGGCTGCACCCACTACAGGCTGTATTTAGTGAACTACAGGAGGGGGCGGAGACAAGACCAGCCATTTGGCACAAGGAAAGAGGGTAGCACTGAGCGGTCTTTACTACATGAAGTCTCAAACTGGATTACTGCACAGATCTGGAATACACAATTCACACCGAGATTCCAGAAAGAACACACATGCTGGAGTTCAGCTTTGAACCTGCAGTTGTCTCTTGTACTTCATAATGTACTCATGAGCCTATCATAAGAAAATTCCTCAACAGCAGTATTAATGGGAAGCAGCTACAGAGGAAACCAGTGCATCGAATACTGCAGATCTTTTATCCTGACAAGTATCAATTCCATGGTGACAGCACTGCTCCATCTCCGAGGCATAACTGTGAGACATGTTGGAGGGATTATAAAGAGGGGAAAGGGTGGGGGGGGGGGGGGCCTGCTCTGGTACCTTAGGCCTGGGTATCCTGAATCTTAAAGGACCCAAAAAAGTACACATTATGGAGTCAGCAGACTTTTGAGGCATCTTTCTCACCTAAACTCAAGCAGCTGAATTATCTAATGTACAAAAAAAGCCCTCCAAATCACAAAGTAAAATACAAAGACTCAGAAGACAACACTTCAGTCCTGACCTCAATCCCTCTGAAATGCTGTGGCGCAGTATGAAGAAAGCCAATGCATGAAACATTCATGGATGGAAGGGGTTTGGATGTAGGAATGAATAGTTACCAACCACCACACAGGGCCAATCAGTTACAGAAAGTCAGGTCATGTGACTTGTTACTACATAATAGGGGATTGTTTTGTACAAGGACTCAGACGACAACTCAAGTTCTGACCTCAATCCCCTGAAATGCAGTGGACATGCATGAAATATTCATGGATGGAAGGGGTTTGGATGTAAGAATGAATAGCACCCAACCACCACACAGGGCCAATCAGTTACAGAAAGTCAGGTCATGTGACTTGTTACTATATAAAATTGGAGATTTTGTACAAGGACTCAGAAGACAACACTCAAGTCCTGACCTCAATCCCTCTGAAACGCTGTGGCGCATTCATGGATGGAAGGGGTTAGGATTTAGGAATGAACAGCACCCAACCATCACACAGGGCCAATCAGTTACAGAAAATCAGGTCATGTGACTTGTTCCTACACAACGGGCTTATTATGTACAATTACTTTTCTCTCTTTTTATTATTTCAGTGTAAATTTTGTTAAAAAGATCTCAGAACTTCAACTGGATCACGTTTTAGAAGATGTTCATGTAAAAATGCAGGAAATCGGATCGACTTCCAATACAACCAGCCTTGCCCATAGATGGCTCGAATCTCGACCGGTCCCTGCTGAATGGAGACTCAGTCTATCTAGGGCAGGTGTAGGCAACCTGCGGCTCTCCAGCTGTTGCAGAACTACAAGTTCCATCATGCCTCTGCAAGTCATAGTTTTGTAATGTTGCAATGCCTCATGGGAAATGTAGTTCCACAACAGCTGGAGAGCCGCAGGTTGCCCACCCCTGATCTAGGGGGTTCACAAACTTATCTCACAATTGTACATACTGTGCTGGAGATCATTAGCGGAGGCTACAAACACACGGGGTGACGGAGACATATTTATCAAAGTGTCTGAGAAATTAAACCGTGTTTAGTCCGATCGGTCCCCAACCCCTCCCACCGGTCATATACAATTCAATCCGATCCGATTTGGCTCTTCAGACACTTTGAGAAGTGAGGCTGTTGGATCTACGGAGGGGCAATTCATTCAGACTAAAAAAAAAAAATACACATTAACTCCTTCACGCCGGCGCCTCCCGGCCCTTTAAGTTTCAGAAGCCGGGGCAGTCGGGGGTGGTGTTTAGGGTCACGTGACCACCGTGACGCATCGTCACGGTGGTCACATGATCGGGAAAGGTCCCGATCAAAAGAGAAGACCGGGACCTTTCTGTGAGTACCAGACGTGTGTGCAGGGAGCACGCATGGCGCGCGCTCTCTGCACATATGTCCTTTTTTAATAGAACGCAAATGTACGGCCGCTCGGCATCTAGGCCCAGACACCGGGAGGCCGCACATTTTCGTTCGGCCGGCGTGAAGAGGTTAACCTCCTACAAAAATGGATGTTGACGTTGTTGGGGGCGGGTACCTGTAATGTACACAGAGAAAGCGAAACCCCCCCCCCCTTTTTTTTTTTTTTGACAAGATCCCCTGGAACCTGTGAGCCTCTCCCTTCACCCCCTCCCCCACCCCCGTCCTCCTCCTGCTTTGCGATCTCGGTTACAGACATATGTCATGTGCCATTTCTCAGTAGTATTCTAGGCTTGGCGAGTGAAGCAACCTGATTGGCTTCCATCCAGCTGGTAGCATCTTGCAAGTGATAAAACTCCACGAAGGCGAAACCGCGGCTTAAACCTAGAGACAGCATTCAGATATAGACGGGATACTAGTGTTAGTCAGTTCCTTTTACAGAAAACACAGCTCCATCTCTCCATCTGACAAAGCCCATGGATCTAGCACTGGTTTATGGCATGACTTCCATGGCTGCACTCATCTGGCCTGTCTTATGTGGGTTGCCATGAAAAGGAACCTCGGTACCCCGACAACCCCCACCCACTTACCCCTCTAACTAGCCCTTCCTAGGGGGCCTGCAGGAGCCCACATGCTGTACACTCAACAGGAGGCTTCAATGAATATAAAAAGGTGGCATCTCATCTATACAATCCTACTTACCAGCTGAGCAATACTGACAATGGACCAAGGCCGGCCATACATGGGTCGAAATTCGACTGATTTTTTCGTCTAAAAGAATCATCGGCTCTGTTAGTGGGGTCAATGGCACCGGCTGATTTGAGGTTCCTCCCCTTTTTCGGTGATTGGGCACATTGGAAAATTTGGGAAGAGAGACCAATTTTTCGACTCGATGGTCAAATCGTACGATCGTTTTTCCGAAAAGATTATACAGGATTTATATATTATTATTATACAGGATTTATATTTTTATTATACAGGATTTTATATATTATTATTATACAGGATTTATATATTATTATAAATACAGGATTTATATTCTTATAATACAGGATTTATATTATTATACAGGATTTATAATATACAGGATTTATATTATACAGGATTTATATTATTATACAGGATTTATATTATTATACAGGATTTATACATTTATATTATTATTATTATACAGGATTTTATATTATTATTATTATACAGGATTTATATTATTATACAGGATTTATATTATACAGGATTTATATTTATATTATTATACAGGATTTATATTTATACAGGATTATTATACAGGATTTATATTATTATTATACAGGATTTATATGGCGCCAACAATTTGCGCAGCGCTGTACAATATAAGGGGGGGGGGGCGGTAAAATTACATTTCAATACAGAAGGAATAGGAGGGCCCGGCTCGTGGAGCTTACAATCTAAAGGAAGGGGGAGGTGATACAAAAGGTGATAGCTGCGGGGGATGATCTGGTGGAGGTGATTCAAGTACAGTTCTTAGGTGGAGGTGGGGTAGGCTTCCCTGAAGAAGTGAGTTTTCAAAGATTGCCTAAAGGCAGACAGGGTGGGGGCTGACCGGACATACTGTGGTAGGGAGTTCCAGAGGATGGGAGAGGCTCTGGAGAAGTCCTGGAGGCGAGCGTGGGAGGTGGTGATGAGGGAGCTAGAGAGGAGGATATCATGGGAGGAGCAGAGTGGGCGATATCTGTGGATGAGGTTGGCGATGTAGCTGGGGGCAGTGTTGTGGGTGGCTTTGTAAGCTGTGGTTAGTATTTTGAATTTTATACGTTGGGTTAGTGGAAGCCAGTGCAGGGATTGGCAGAGAGGGGCAGCAGAATATGCGCATGAGCAGGGGTGTATATACCACAAGGCAAACAAGGCATTTGCCTAGAGCGGCATTTTTCATGGGGGGCAGCACTGCCCCTTGGAAGAAGGGATGGAAGAAGGGACACACACGGCATGGGGACCTGGTGGGTTCTGAGAGAGGCTGCAGATTTCATGACAGTGTATGCACAGCCCGACTCTCGTTCCCGGAGATGTCCGGAGCTGTGAAGGTGAGTGTCTCTCTCGCCATGGGGGATTGTGACTGGTATATGGGGGGCAGTGGTAGTGGAAGGCTCTCTCGGGAGGAGGGCAGGGGTGTTGTTGGTCAATGTCAGGCTCTCTCTGTGGGGGGGGGCACCGATTTTTGTGTTGCCTAGGGCAGCGCACAAACCTAAACACACCACTGCGCATGAGCCGTGACCTGGAAGGAATGGAAATTTTGCCTGTTAAATGGGGTGAACTTAATGACTCGGTCGGCCGATTTTCAAAATCATTGATGGCACCGGATTGCCGAACGTTTTCGATTTTCGGACGAAAAATCGTTCGGGATACGAACCATGTATGGCCTGCGTAAGAGGCTCCTTAACCATGGCAAAACCAATAATGCCCTGATGGTTTATGGGGATGGAGAGCGGGGCTATAACCCCAGAGGGAGAACTTTCAGAGCGAGTGGGAGGGCACCACATCACGGCGGAAAGAACCTCACCTGTCTTACGCTTCATCAGCCTCACGTCCGCAGGCTGCGGCCCCTCGAAGGTCTCCACCACCTCGCGGATCTGGGAAAACAAAAGCAGAGGAACCCCCACCCTGATGTCAGCGTCTACAAGACTAGTGGAACCAAATGGACGGACATGTCAGAGAGGGTGTCCCCTATACAGGCTGGGGCCACTTCCGTCCTACTCACGTCATTCTCAGTGATGTTGATGGGAAGGCCTCTCAGCATGATGGTCTTGCTCTCCTTTTCATCCATGTAATAATCATTGCGGTAGTCGTGGTCAATGTATTCACCGTCTGAATGGTAGCCGTCTTCAGAGCGGTCGCTGTTTCTCCTCTCGCGGTCGCGGTCTCTGTCTCTCTGGAAGAGAATACAAACCATTCAATATTGTTCTGAGGGAAAGGATGGACGGGAACCACAGATCCAAGTGTGACGAGGGAAAGGATGGACGGGAACCACAGATCCAAGTGTGACGAGGCAAAGGATGGACGGAAACCACAGATCCAAGTGTGACGAGGGAAAGGATGGACGGGAACCACAGATCCAAGTGTGACGAGGCAAAGGATGGACGGGAACCACAGATCCAAGTGTGACGAGGGAAAGGATGGACGGGAACCACAGATCCAAGTGTGACGAGGCAAAGGATGGACGGAAACCACAGATCCAAGTGTGACGAGGGAAAGGATGGACGGGAACCACAGATCCAAGTGTGACGAGGCAAAGGATGGACGGGAACCACAGATCCAAGTGTGACGAGGGAAAGGATGGACGGGAACCACAGATCCAAGTGTGATGAGGGAAAGGATGGATGGGAACCACAGTTCCAAGTGTGACGAGGCAAAGGATGGACGGGAACCACAGATCCAAGTGTGACGAGGGAAAGGATGGACGGGAACCACAGATCCAAGTGTGACGAGGGAAAGGATGGACGGGAACCACAGATCCAAGTGTGACGAGGGAAAGGATGGACGGGAACCACAGATCCAAGTGTGACGAGGGAAAGGATGGACGGGAACCACAGATCCAAGTGTGACGAGGGAAAGGATGGACGGGAACCACAGATCCAAGTGTTCTGAGGGAAAGGATGGACGGGAACCACAGATCCAAGTGTGACGAGGCAAAGGATGGACGGGAACCACAGATCCAAGTGTGACGAGGGAAAGGATGGACGGGAACCACAGATCCAAGTGTGACGAGGGAAAGGATGGACGGGAACCACAGATCCAAGTGTGACGAGGGAACGGATGGACGGGAACCACAGATCCAAGTGTGACGAGGCAAAGGATGGACGGGAACCACAGATCCAAGTGTGACGAGGGAAAGGATGGACGGGAACCACAGATCCAAGTGTGACGAGGGAAAGGATGGACGGGAACCACAGATCCAAGTGTGACGAGGCAAAGGATGGACGGGAACCACAGATCCAAGTGTGACGAAAGAAAGGATGGACGGGAACCACAGATCCAAGTGTGACGAGGGAAAGGATGGACGGGAACCACAGATCCAAGTGTGACGAGGGAAAGGATGGACGGGAACCACAGATCCAAGTGTGACGAGGGAAAGGATGGACGGGAACCACAGATCCAAGCGTGACGAGGGAAAGGATGGACAGGAACCACAGATCCAAGTGTGATGAGGTGGGGGGCAACTTATTCCGATGGAACACCTCATTGGATTAGAACGGACATTATATAGTCAGTGGGGACCCCCGGTCCTGGAACAAGGATAGACATGACATAAAGTGGGGGACCTCGCTCCTGGAACAAGGATGGACATTATATAGGGGGATGGACCCCCGGTCCTGGAACAAGGATGGACGTTTATATAGGGGGGAACTCCCGGTCCTGGAACAAGGATGGACATTATACCAGCGGGGGAACCCCGGTCCTGGAACAAGGATGGACATATATGTGACGGGGAACCCCCGGTCCTGGAACAAGGATGGACATTATATAGCGGGGGACCCGGTCCTGGAACAAGGATGGACAGGGACATTATATAGTCAGGGGGGACCCCGGTCAGTGGGGAACGGTCCTGGAACAAGGATGGACATTATACAGTGGGACCCCCGGTCCTGGAACAAGGATGGACATCATATAGGGGGGACCCCTGGTCCTGGAACAAGGATGGACATTATAGGGTGGGACCCGGTCCTGGAACAAGGATGGACATTATATAGCGGGGGAACCCCGGTCCTGGAACAAGGATGGACATTATATACAGGGGGACCCCCGGTCCTGGAACAAGGACGGACATCATACAGTGGGGGACCCCGGTCCTGGAACAAGGATGGACATTATACAGGGGGACCCCCGGTCCTGGAACAAGGACGGACATTATACAGTGGGGGACCCCCGGTCCTGGAACAAGGATGGACATTATACAGTGGGGGACCCCCGGTCCTGGAACAAGGATGGACATTATACAGCGGGGGACCCCCGGTCCTGGAACAAGGATGGACATTATATAGCGGGGGACCCCCGGTCCTGGAACAAGGATGGACATTATACAGTGGGACCCCCGGTCCTGGAACAAGGACGGACATCATACAGTGGGGGACCCCTGGTCCTGGAACAAGGATGGACATTATACAGTGGGACCCCCCGGTACATAGGTGCGGACACTTACTTCAGGGCTGTCGTAGTCTCTGTAATCATCGTATCGATCGTCCCGGTCATCTCTGTATCGTTTATATTCATTCGATTCTCTGCGCCGGTTCCTGGACACTCGCTCATCGCGCTCGTCTCTGTCGAAGGCCGATCCGTACCTCCCACTGCGCTCGCTGCGACTTACTCTGCAAAACAAATCACACGGTTTTCCTCAAAGGCCTCGGCACAGATAGTTCAAAATGAAGCTGCTGAGACGCGATCGACTTTTTTCCTATTGCTAAATGACCCCCCCCACCCCCCATGATAGCCTACGTGTCCTTGCCACATGGGCATTGGCTGGTGTTTACAAGTTAAAAAAACCACACAACATCCATCGCGCCTCCATGCTGGGGACATTTAGTGTGTCGGGGCTCCTTCATTCCATTAGTTAGAATAAATGAGCGCTGAAATGCTTGAAGCGCCCAAACGCAGCTTTAGGCGCGACTTTTCCACCCGGAGCTCGGGTGTCCAAAGTAGGAGAACCATCCCGTGTGCATGAGGCCGGAGCCTGACAGGGTGAAGGTTGTGTCCTCCCGATCATCCGAAGTCTGGACACAAAGCAGATTGTTGTCAGCAGACAGGAGCCATGACACCTACCGCTTGTCCGAGCCCATGCTTCTTCTCCAAGGTCGGGGTCCCCTTGTGGCTGGTATGGTGGAGTCGTCTGCACAGAAGAAAAACAGGCATGAAGGTCAGGACTGGAAACACTTCTCTGATTGGTTCACACAATACTCCCCTCTCTGACGGTCCCTGATAGTAAACAAGTCCCTGCATGGTTCCTATTCATGTATCACACAGGTTTACATACGGTCCCTATTCCTGTACCATTTGTTTCTCTGCACAGTCCCTGTTCCCGGATCACACACACAGCTCTCTTTTCGGTCCCCATTTGTGTACCAAATGGTTATCTGTTAGGTCCCTATTCCCATACAACACGGCTCTCTCTACAGTCCCTATTCGTGTACTATATGGCTCTCTATATGGTCCCCATTTCCGTATCACATGGCTCCCTGCACACAACTCTCCATCATTGATCTTCCCCCACCCATATGTGGCCTCTCTCCTCAGTGACACTACAGAGGATCCATCCCCTCTCAGGCTCCGCCGTGACGCCTCATCCCCTCTCCGGCTCCCGCCGTGACGCCTCATCCCCTCTCCTGCCCCGCCGTGACGCCTCATCCCCTCTCCGCCGTGACGCCTCATCCCCTCTCCGGCTGCGCCGTGACGCCTCATCCCCTCTCCGGCTCCGCCGTGACGACTCATCCCCTCTCCGGCTCCGCCGTGACGCCTCATCCCCCTCTCCTGCCCCGCCGTGACGACTCATCCCCTCTCCGCCGTGACGCCTCATCCCCTCTCCGCCGTGACGCCTCATCCCCTCTCCGGCTCCGCCGTGACGCCTCATCCCCTCTCCTGGCCCGCCGCCTCATCCCCTGTCCTGCCGCCCTCACCCCTCAACTCTCCCTGGCCCCCGCCGCCTCATCCCCTCTCCTGGCCCCCCCGCCGCCTCATCCCCTCTCCTGGCCCCGCCGCCTCATCCCCTCTCCTGGCCCGCCGCCCTCATCCCCTCTCCTGGCCCCGCCGCCTCATCCCCTCTCCTGGCCCCCCGCCGCCCTCATCCCCTCTCCTGGCCCCGCCGCCTCATCCCCTCTCAGGCCCCGCCGTCTCATCCCCTCTCCTGACCCGCCGTGACGCCTCATCCCCCTCTCCTGCCCCGCCGTGACGCCTCATCCCCTCTCCGCCGTGACGCCTCATCCCCTCTCCGGCTCCGCCGTGACGCCTCACCCCCTCTCCGGCTCCGCCGTGACGACTCATCCCCTCTCCGGCTCCGCCGTGACGACTCATCCCCTCTCCGGCTCGCCGTGACGACTCATCCCCTCTCCTGCCCCCCCCGCCTCATCCCCTCTCCTGGCCCGCCGTGACGCCTCATGCCCTTCTCAGGCCCCCCGCCGTGACGCCTCATCCCCTCTCAGGCCCCGCCGTGACGCCTCATCCCCTCTCAGGCCCCGCCGTGACGCCTCATCCCCCTCTCAGGCCCCGCCGTGACGCCTCATCCCCTCTCAGGCCCCGCCGTGACGCCTCATCCCCTCTCAGGCCCCGCCGTGAACGCCTCATCCCCTCTCAGGCCCCGCCGTGACGCCTCATCCCCCTCTCAGGCCCCGCCGTGACGCCTCATCCCCTCTCAGGCCCCGCCGTGACGCCTCATCCCCTCTCAGGCCCCGCCGTGACGCCTCACCCCCCCTCTCAGGCCCCGCCGTGACGCCTCACCCCCTCTCCGCCGTGACGCCTCATCCCCTCATGTTCTGCGGTGACGCCTCATCCCCTCATGTTTCTGCGGTGACGCCTCATCCCCTCATGTTCTGCGGTGACGCCTCATCCCCTCATGTTCTGCGGTGACGCCTCATCCCCTCATGTTTATGGGGTTCTGCGGTGACGCCTCATCCCCTCATGTTCTGCGGTGACGCCTCATCCCCTCATGTTCTGCGGTGACGCCTCATCCCTCTCATGTTCTGCGGTGACACCTCATCCCTCTCATGTTCTGCGGTGACACCTCATCCCTCTCATGTTCTGCGGTGACACCTCATCCCTCTCATACCGTCACCCCCCCACCTGGGACCGGCCCAGACAGAAGCTGTACAATGGAGGAGCAGCAACAACACCGACCGATCCCCGCTGAGGAACAGAATCACTGCTGTCACCTCCATCTACATCATCCAATCAGCTGTCAGACACAAAATCTTGGCATGATTGGGCAAAGCGCGCCCCAGGGGACAATCGGTCAGTCTGACAGCGCACGGCTCGGATCAGGCGATACGGCACCAACATTTGTTTATTCAACGCAAAAACAACAAAATGTAAATAAAGCTCAATAACCACAACACACGGATGTACAAAACATGTCAGGGTGGGGACCTCCGGGGGGGGGCCATCATTCTGCGTGCCCAACGGAAAGCAGTCCTAAATCTGGGGATATACCAAACTATCAATAGAGAATCATTACAGCAACACAGCAGATACAGAGAGGGGCCCGAGGGGCCCCACAGGGACAGCCGGCACTCTGGAATGTGGCTGAAGAGAAGCATCTGGCCCCCGGGGAGAGGAGACATGTGATACACGTCACCGCACGCCACGTTCCAACTACACGTGTCCAATGATGACCACGCCCCACAGCTGGGTGCGCACCTTGGGCAGCACCCCCAATACTCTGCCGTACCCAGCCCCACCCACATTAGTGTTGTGCGCAATGTTGGCCACACCCCATCACACTTTTGCATGCAAATCTCACTACACAGTTTGTACATAATTAATGCCACATAGCATTAATGCCACACCCCCAGCATGGGACCACGTCACACCCCCAGCACCGTGACTGGCAAAACGTGGGCCACACCCCCAGCACGTGACGGGAAAACGTGGGCCACACCCCCAGCACCGAGACGGGCACAGCACGGGCCACACCCCCAGCACCCCCAACCCCCAGCACCCACCCCCCCCCGGCCACAGCGTGGGCCACACCCCTAGCCAATCACAGCGCAGGCCACACCCCCAGTACACTGTGTATGGAGGATGGGGGTCCAATGCACAATGTACTGGATGGGGGGGGGGAGGGGTGTCCTGTATAATGAGGTGTATAGAGGACGATGCATGGATCAGAGTCCTATATAATGCTGTATAAGGGGGGGAGCAGGGGGCTGTGACCTCTATAACGGGGTGCATAGAAGATTGGGGTCACCGCCTGTACTGGCTACAGTGGGGAGGGGTAATTCTATACAAGGGCTCAACACATCCCAGGCCCCAGGTCGCCATGGCAACTAGAAATTGCACCTGGGCTTTTGTCAGCCCATTCCCAGGTCTGTAGATGCCGTGCTGTCGCTGAATGGCGGCCACAGCGCAGGAGGATAGTTCCAGGAGGGCGCCTATCGACATCCTTCCAGAAGCCCCCCCCCCCATGTCCTTCAGACACAGCTGATCACAGATCGATGTAAAGGGCCAATCACATTGTGAACAGACTTGACGATTATTGGCATTTCCTTTCCGTACGCGCGATAAACGGAAATTCTACCCGTAAACATGCACACCGATAATGAGTGCCCCCACCACACCGATAATGAGCACGCGCCCCCCCCCCACCACACCGATAATGAGCGCCCCCCCCCCCACCACACCGATAATGAGTGCGCCCCCCCCACCACACCGATGATGAGTGCGCGCCCCCCCCACCACACACGATGATGAGTGCGCCCCCCCCACCACACCGATGATGAGTGCGCCCCCCCCCACCACACCGATGATGAGTGCGCGCCCCCCCCCCCCACACCGATGATGAGTGCCCCCCCCACCACACCGATGATGAGATGAAGTGCGCCCCCCCCCCCCCCCACCACACCGATGATGAGTGCGCGCCCCCCCCATCCCCACCACCCGATAATGAGTGCCCCCCACCACCACACACCGATAATGAGTGTGCCCCCCCCCCCCCCAGTGGCGCGCCCCCCCCCCCACCACACCGATGATGAGTGCGCCCCCCCCCCCCCCACCCCACCACACCGATGATGAGTGCAGGCGCCCCCCCCCCACCCATGAGTGCGCCCCCCCCACACGATGACCGATAATGAGTGCGCGCCCCCCCCCACCACACCGATGATGAGTGCCCGCCCCCCCCCCCCCACCACACCGATGATGAGTGCGCGCCCCCCCCCCCCCACCACACCGATGATGAGTGCGCCCCCCACCACCACACCGATGATGAGTGCGCCCCCCACCACCACCGATGATGAGTGCGCCCCCCCCCCCACCACCACACCGATGATGAGTGCGCCCCCCACCACCACACCGATGATGAGTGCGCCCCCCACCACACCGATTGATGAGTGTCGGGCCCCCCCACCAGTGCGCCCCCCCACCACACCGATGATGAGTGCGCCCCCCCACCCCACACCGATGATGAGGGCGCGCCCCACCACACCGATTATGAGTGTGTGCCCCCCCCCCCCCCCACCACACCGATGATGAGTGCGCCCCCCACCCACCACACCGATGATGAGTGCGCCCCCCCACCACCACACCGATGATGAGTGCGCTGCCCCCCACCGCACCGATGACCGAGTGCGCCCCCCACCGCACCGATGAGTTTGCGCCCCCCCCCACCGCACCGATGAGTGCGCCCCCCCCCACCACCGCACCGATGAGTGCGCCCCCCCCAACCGCACCGATGTGTGCGCCCCCCCCCACCGCACCATGCCGATGATGATGCGCCCCCCCCCCCACCGCACCGATGATGAGTGCGCCCCCCCCCCACCGCACCGATGAGGATGTGCGCCCCCCCACCGCCCCCCCCCCCCACACCGCACCGATGATGAGTGCGCCCCCCCCCCCCACCCCCCCCCCACCCCACCGACCGATGAGTGCGCCCCCCCCCCCACCGCACCGATGATGAGTGCGCCCCCCACCGACCGATGATGAGTGCGCCCCCCCCCACCGCACCGATGAGGAGTGCGCCCCCCCCCACCGCACCGATGAGGAGTGCGCCCCCCCCCCACCGGCCACCGATGAGGAGTGCCGCCCCCCCACCGCACCGATGATGAGTGCGCCCCCCCCCCACCGCCGATGAGGGAGT